TAAGGGACCCCCAGTGGACGTGATATATCAACTGCTATCATGTTATCGTCTGTATGTATGTATGTACTGTCTGTGTGTATTGTATGTGCACTGTCTGTGTGTATTGTTTGTATACAGCACTTTATATGTACACTATATACCTGAACTGGGTGTTACTATAGCGTTAGGTTAAGTTAGGTTAGGTTAGGTTACACTAAAGATATCTTTTAGACCGCTAGCACCTCTGCACTGTCTACATAAGTACACTGTCTTCCTGGACTGTCTACATAATACACTAATTACCTGCTCTGTCCATGGAAATTACACTGTCTACCTGTACAATAGTCACATATGCAGTACGAGAAGTTGGGCAGGCGGCCGGCAACGCGGGAATGCAGCAATTTGTGAGAGTTTGGACATAACACAACACATGTCAAACACCTACTAAGGTCCTCCTTGTTTTACCAACATATAGTGTTAATGTAGTCGTGGGTCATACACCTCAGCTGTCTCGGATCGTTAGTTATGTTATCCAGACAATACAAAGACTCGGTTAACTCTATAACGAGGTCGTGCTATTCAGCAGCGTGTGACAGCGGCAAGATACGTCTGTAAACACAAACACCGTCATAACACCTGGCTGGTATAACTCAGGTGTACAACAGTCACACCTGAGAGAACTGCTTTGTATATTAACGCATTCTTCACTAACTTGACGATGGTAACTACGCTTTTAAAGCAAATTCAGACAACAAATAACCAAATTTAACTAAAACGTACGTAATCTAACCTAACCTAACTAAACCCCGACTTTAAGACGATTGTGTGGTAACGTTTCCATCACCACCACGAGTAGGGCACACACACACACACACACACACACACACACACACACACACACACACACACACACACACACACTCTATTCACTTAAAAGTTACATAAAAGAAAATTTGACCCTCTGGGAAGCCATAGAGGCAGACACAGGGTGGAGTTTGTTGCTACCACGACCACAGACTTGTGTGTCGTTCCAGGCATAAAGGTTGCTATGATACTGTGTGTGTGTGTGTGTGTGTGTGTGTGTGTGTGTGTGTGTGTGTGTGTGTGTGTGTTCTCAAGCAACAAAATACTCAAGCGAAAATTAACTTCACGTGTTCAGTGACTATTGACATAAAACTGAACACTTGTGGGTGGTCGCTGGCCCTAAATTCTATAACTTTCTCTATACCCTGATACAATAATTATTATTATTATTATTATTATTATAAATTATATTTATTATTACTATATATATATTATTATTATCATATTTGTTATTATTATCATCACAAATATCGCTCTCAACACCCCACAATGACACACCACAGTTATAAATGTCATCCCGTGTGTGTAAATACATCAGTCTTGTGTGGGAGATCATCCCTGGTGGTGATGGTATCTGCCCCTCTACTTATTGATAACATGTGATAACACTCCGACACCTGATGCGCCTCCTGGCACTCTTACCTCTGACTTATGCCACCTGGCACTGAGTACGAGGGTGACACTGGGTAGGGGTGGCACTGGGTGGGAGAGTGGCACTGGGCAGGGTAAGAGAGTGACACTGAGTACGAGGGTGACACTGGGTAGGGGTGGCACTGGGTGGGAGAGCGGCACTGGGCAGGGTAAGAGGGTGACACTGGGTAGGGGTGGCACTGGGTGGGAGAGCGGCACTGGGCAGGATAAGAGGGTGACACTGGGGTGGATAGTGCCAAGTATGTGCTCACCTCACATTCTTTACTCACACTGTTGTCCTATCTGTTTTTACATACCCGTTGATCTAACAGGTGGGTCACCAACAACTAGGTTAACAGGTGGGTCACCAACAGCTAAGTTAACAGGTGGGTCACCAACAGCTAGGTTAACAGGTGGGTCACCAACAGCTAAGTTAACAGGTGGGTCACCAACAGCTAAGTTAACTAAGTTAACAGGTGGGTCACCAACAGCTAAGTTAACAGGTGGGTCACCAACAGCTAGGTTAACAGGTGGGTCACCAACAGCTAAGTTAACAGGTGGGTCACCAACAGCTAAGTTAACAGGTGGGTCACCAACAGCTAACCACCAACATTTCGGTTACATTAAAGCTAAACAAAAGTTTGTCTTTAAATTAATGCGTGATCCAAGTATTTGCTGATAACCACAAGAAAACACGAAGTTCCCAAGCGCTTTCGTATAATTTACATCTTCAGGGGTGAGTGCAGACTGAACTCATCCCTGAAGATGTGAATTACACGAAAGCGCTTGGAACTTCGTGTTTTCTTGTGGTTATCAGCATATATATATATATATATATATATATATATATATATATATATATATATATATATATATATATATATATATATATATATATATATATATATATATATAATCTCCCTCCTATTAGTTCTCTATTTCTGTTTGTCTACCTGTCTCTTTCTACCTAACCTATATCCCTCCCCCGTCTCCTCCCACCCGGTTACCTCGGCCAAGGTAGCTCCGGACGGGGAGGAAGGGGAGGGGGAGATGACTGTCTGGGCGCGTGACGTCATCGGCGGGGTGTTGCGTCATCACCCCACTAAAGGAGTTGAGTTGCCACACACCGCTACGCTCACTTGATAAATAATAATAACATTCCCGTTTTAACTATTTTTCAGACAACATCTTGATTTACATATTTATTGAATAAAAACAAAAATTCTTATATCGAAGAGATGGTTTTTAGTTCCCATTAAAATCTAGAATGGAAAAAATAGAAAAAATAAATATTTTTCTCATATCTAAACGCCAGCAACGGAGAAAGTGACAACAGTGGAGGCAGACATTGCTAACCCTCAAGTGTCAATAAGAGCTATAGACTTAACCTCCAACAGAGGTTATCGACCTTCCTGACCTTCCCAGTCTTCCGTACCGCTTTACCTTGCTAGACGTGCCTCGAGTACATCAGCTGGACCAACAATGTTAGTGACAGCACACAGTACCAGCCATCCCCTACAGTGTATTATTATTATTATTATTATTATTATTATTATTATTAGTAGTAGTAGTAGTAGTAGTAGTATTGCCCTCATGATCTAATTTAACTGTTATTACCCCCATAACTCCCCCCCCCACATTCTTACCCCCATGTTTTATTTTCACGCACCATGAATATTATCAAAGGTGGAGATCTGGCAGCTGAATGGTAGCTTGACCGGGTAGGATAAACCACCCCACAATCCCAATCTAACCCATGAGTCGCCAATCCCAATAGCCAAAGCTAATCCTTAAACCTTGGGAAAGAGGGGGGGGGGGGCTTAGGACCACTTTTTGGGGCGAGAATATAAATCGTATGAATGAAAAAAAAAAGTTTCGAAATTTATTCACAATTTGTGTTGTATTTTTTATTTTATTATTTGATTATTTTGTTTGTATATTTTATTGTCTATTGACTTATTGTCCATCTTATTTTATTATCGTTGATATTTTATTTGTTTTCTGGATTCTTATATTTATACAGAGGGAGGAGGAGGAGAAGGAGGAAAGAGAGGAGGGTAGGAGGAAAGGTTATGGAGGGGTTGGAGGAGGAGGCAAGCTGGTAGATGAGGAGAAGAGTTGGAGAGGGAAAGAGGAGGGAAGAGGAGAAGGTGAGGAGGGAGGAAGAGGAGAGGGGGAAGGGTAGGGGTAGGAGGAGGAGGAGAAAGGTTATGGAGGGTTGGAGGAGGAGGCAAGCTGGTAGATGAGGAAAGAGTTGGAGGGAAGAGGAGGAGGAGAAGGTGAGGAAGAGGAGGGGGGGAGGGAGGAGAAGGAGGAGAAAGGTTATGGGGGTTGGAGGGGAGGAGGCAAGCTGTTAGATGAGAGAAGGTTGGAGAGGAAGAGGAGGAGGAGGAGAAGGTGAGGAGAAGAGGAGGGAGGAGGAGGGGGAGGAGGAGGAGGAGAAAGGTGTGGAGGGTTGGAGGAGGAGGCAAGCTGGTAGATGAGAAGAGTTGGAGGGAAGAGGAGGAGGAGGAGAAGGTGAGGAAGAGGAGAGGCAGGGAGGAGGAGGAGGAGGAGAGGGCAGGTGGTTGAATATATATTTATTTTGTTGAAAGGCAAAATAATACGTGAGGCGACAATTTATTTTCCTTCCCCTTCATTTTCTTTCATATCTCCTGCTTTCATTTCTGCTTCTTTCACACCTATAATTTATTTCTACTTTCATATCTCCTGCATTAATTTCTACTTCTTTCATACTTCCTGCTTTCATTTCTGCTTCTTTCACACCCATCATTTATTTCTACTTTCATATCTCCTGCTTTCATTTCTACTTTCACGCCTACTGCTTTCATTTCTGCTTCTTTCACACCAATAATTTATTTCTACCTTCATATCTCCCGCTTTCATTTCTGCTTCTTTCATACCTCCTTCTTTCATTTCTGCTTCTTTCACACCCCTTGCTTTATTTTCTGCTTTTTTCACACCTACTTCATTCATTTCTGCTTCTTTCACACGTTCAATCATTTCTGCTTCTTTCATACCTCCTGCTTCTTTTACACCTCCTGCTTTCATTTCTGCTTCTTTCACACCTAATTCATTCATTTCTGCTTCTATCATACCCCCTGCTTTCATATCTTCTTTCAAACTTCGTCTATTTATTTATACTTCTTTCACACCTTCATTCATTATACTTTCACACCTGCTTCATTCATTATACTTTCACACCACCTTCACTCATTCCTTTACGATGAGTTCCTTCAAATATGACGAGTAATTAGCTCTCCAGTCACTGCACTCATTGTTGACCATTGTCCTCTTTATAAATAACCAATTATAATGATTTTCAACACTGATGTCCAAAGCTGCGTTAGCGCGGGATGGAGAGAGGGAGGGAGTGCTCGTACGTCTGGCAGCGCGTAATGACGACACACACTAAATGGGAAAACTCGTTCAACAAGGAAATATAAAACAAAAACATTGGGATGTGAGTCAAGAATAGCGTATATTGAGTTAGTTACGCAAATTTTGTTTCCATCTGTTTATGTGGTTTACACAAAACAGTGTAGCCAAAATGTTTGTCTATACAAGTGGTCGTGGGAGACTAATGAGGAGAAAGTTGTTGGCAACACTGGAGACTTGTGGTTTAAGATCTGTGGCCACAAAATCTTTCACAAGAGACCGAGGTAATAGCGACCCACGTGACCCTGAAGCAATAGGTCATGGTCAATCATCTTCACCAGTAGGGTATTCTCTCTCTCTCTCTCTCTCTCTCTCTCTCTCTCTCTCTCTCTCTCTCTCTCTCTCTGGTCTATTAAATCCGGGTTTTATATCAATAAATCTGTATAAAATAAGAGAAACGACACACACCTCTCTCTCTTTATCTCGCCTTCTCGCTCTTTCTCTCTCTCTCTCACCTGGTACTGGTCATCATCAGGCTTACCTGCGGAAGAAGAAGAAGGCAATTAGCATCACAAACAACAGGTGTCATTAGGCTATGTTAAGTAGGTTATCTTAAGTGATATTTATCACGTATTGGGTTATCTTGCTCTCACACCTTCCCTCACACTATCACCACCAGTTGTACAATTGTGGAAATGTGTTCCTACACCCCCTGTGGTAACCTGTGTCACCAAACGGCCAACCTATATGACCTATAGCAAACCTATCCACCAATCACGTCCCTCGTTACATCACCAATACCCAGTCATTCATATATAGTGATACTACTACTGCGACGGTGCCGTTTGGAGACACGGGTTACCACAAGGGGTGTTGGAACACATATCCCCAATTGTATATGTAATACCACATAATGTTCAGTGCCTCAAAGAAGTATCTGCCAGGATGGGTTCGATGACTTCAAAATGCTACATACAACTCGTCATGTCTCGGGAGGGTTGGTAGGCGTGGCTCTGTGGCCTCATGATCCTATTGCATTTGGAACCGAACATCATATTAATTACGCCGAAATAATTATACACATTGCATTACTTATGTTAAACTATATACCAAAGTAAATGCATATCCCAATATCTATCATCCGTGGTCTCATAATGTTTCACACAGTGTGTGGACAGATACTTTTTTGAGTTACTGTACATGTATCACCACCACCTGTTGTATAGTCCCCTTCACGAGTGCGTTTACAGTGGCTCGTCATATAAACATTCCACAAATCATTATCTTTAATATATTTGTTTTAATATTGTTTTAATTTGATTCCATACGATGTTTATTATTACGAGTTTTCTTCTGTCAAATGTAAACAAAAACAACGCTGCCACACTGCACAAAATCTGACGAGCCCCTGTAAATGCACTAGTGAAGGGGACTGCATGTATCACCACTTATTGTACATGTATCACCACTTGCTGCACATGCACCATTATAACCACCTGTTGCACATGCACCATTATAACCACCTGTTGCACATGCACCATTATAACCACTTGTTGCACACGGACCATTATAACTACCTGTTGCACATGCACCATTATAGCCACCTGTTGCACATGCTACAACACCACCTGTCACACACCATTATAACCACCTGTTGCACATCCCATTATAACCACTTACACACGGACCTATAACCTGCTGCTCATGCACCTTATAACCACCTGTTGCACATGCACCATTATAACCACCTGTTGCACACGGACCATTATAACTATCTGTTACACATACCCATTAAACACTTGTTGCACACGACCTATAACTACCTGTTGCACATGCACCATTATAGCCACCTGTTGCACATGCTACAACACCACCTGTTGCATATACAGTGAATTACACCATCATCTGTTCCACATACATATGCATCACTATCACCACATATTGCACATATCAACATTTCAAGCACATACATTACTAAATGTTGCACAGGCATCAGTATTACCACCTGTTGCATACATCATCACCTGTTGCACATGCACTGCCAGCACAAATGTATTTTCAAAAATCTGTTGCATCAACCATCTGTTGCACAAGAACCATCACCACCTGTTGCACGTGTATAAGTAGCACCTGAAGTGACGTAACCACCTGCTGTATCATAAAACACCTGCTGTATCATAAACACCTGCTGTATCATAAACACCTGCTGTATCATAAACACCTGCTGTATCATAACCACCTGCTGTATCATAAACATTGCTGTATCCTAACCACCTGCTGTATCCTAACCACCTGCTGTATCCTAACCACCTGCTGTATCATAACCACCTGCTGTATCCTAACCACCTGCTGTATCATAACCACCTGATGTATCATAAACACCTGCTGTATCATAACCACATGTTGTATCATTACCACCTGTTGTGTCATAACCACCTGCTGTATCATTACCACCTGTTGTACAATAACCACCTGTTGTATCATAACCAATTGTTGTACCATAACCACCTGTTGTATCAAAAACACCTGTTGTACCATAGCCACCTGTTGTATAAAAACCACCTGTTGTATCATAACCACCTGTTGTATCATAACCACCTGTTGTACCATAACCACCTGTTGTACCATAACCGCATGTTGTATCATAACCACCTGTTGTATCATTACCACTGTTATATCATAACCACCTGTTGTACCATAACCACCTGTTGTATCATTACCACCTGTTGTATCATTACCACCTGTTATATCATTACCACCTGTCGTACCATAACCAACTGTTGTATCATAACCACCTGTTGTACCATAAATACTGTTCTATCATTACCACCTGTTGTATCATAACCACCTGTTGTATCATTATCACCCGTTGTATCATTACCACCTGTTGTATCATTACTAACTGTTGTATCATTACCACCTGTTGTATCATTACTACCTGTTGTATCATTACCACTGTATCATTACCACCTGTTGTATCACCACCTGTTGTATCATAACCACCTGTTACCATAACCACCTGTTGTATCATTACTACCTGTTATATCATAACCACCTGTTGTACCAAAACACCTGTTGTACCATAACTACCTGTTGTACCATAACCACCTGTTGTATCATTACTACCGTTATATCATAACAACCTGTTGTACCAAAACACCTGTTGTACCATAACTACCTGTTGTATCATTACCACCTGTTGTATCATTACCACCTGTTGTATCATTACCACCTGTCGTACCATAACCACCTGTTGTATCATAACCACCTGTTGTACCATAACCACCTGTTGTATCATTACTACCTGTTGTATCATTACTACCTGTTGTATCATTACCACCTGTTGTACCATAACCACTTTGTATCATAACCACCTGTTGTATCATAACCACCCGTTGTATCATAACCACCTGTTGTATCATAAACCACCTGTTGTATCATAACCACCAGTTGTATCATAACCACCTGTTGTACCCATAACCACCTGTTGTATCATAACCACCAGTTGTATCATAACCACCAGTTGTACCCAACCACCCGTTGTATAAAAAGCGCCTGTTGTACCATAGCCACCTGTTGTATCATAACCACCTGTTGTATCATAAACCACCTGTTGTATCATAAACACCTGTTGTATCATAACCACCTGTTGTACCATAACCACCAGTTGTATCATAACCACCTGTTGTACCATAACCAAACTGTATCATAACCACCAGTTGTACCCATAAATCCACGTTGTATAAAACCACCCGTTGTATAAAAACCACCTGTTGTATGATAACCACCTGTTGTATGATAACCACCTGTTGTACCATAACCACCCGTTGTATAAAAACCACCTGTTGACCATAACCACCTGTTGTATCATAACCACCTGTTGTACCATAACCATCTGTTGTATCAAAACCACCTATTGTATCATAACCACCTGTTGTATCATAACCATCTGTTGTATCATAACCACCCGTTGTATAAAAACCACCTGTTGTACGATAACCACCTGTTGTATGATAACCACCTATTGTATGATAACCACCTGTTGTATCATAACCACCTGTTGTACCATAACCACCTGTTGTATCATAACCACTTGTTGTACCATAACCACCCGTTGTATAAAAACCACCTGTTGTACCATAACCACCTGTTGTATCATAACCACCTGTTGTACCATAACCACCCGTTGTATAAAAACCACCTGTTGTACCATAACCACCTGTTGTATCATAACCACCTGTTGTACCATAACCACCTGTTGTATCATAACCGCCTGTTCTATCATAGCCACCTGTTGTACCATAGCCACCTGTTATATCAAAACCACCTGTTGCATCATTACCACCTGTTGTACCATAACCAATTGCTGTACCATAACCAATTGTTACCATAACCACCTGTTGTATCAAAACCACCTGTTCTATCATAGCCACCTGTTGTACCATAACCACCTGTTGTATCATAACCACCTGTTATATCATTACCACCTGTTGTATCATTACCACCTGTTGTACCATAACCACCTGTTCTATCATAGCCACCTGTTGTACCATAACCACCTGTTGTACCATAACCACCTGTTATACCATAACCACCTGTTATACCATAACCACCTGTTGTAACATTACCACCTGTTGTACCGTAACGACAGGTTCAGCATGTATCATAACCATCTGTTGTATTATTACCACCTGTTGTATCATTACCACCTGTTATACCATAACCACCTGTTATACCATAACCACCTGTTGTATCATAACCACCTGTTGCACAAGTAACAGCGCCTTGATTTTAAAGTAAATTGTGTCATGCTTTAGAGAAAATATATATATGTATTCCCACCAAAAAGCCGTGCCCTGTCTTAGCCATAACTGGGTTGATTGGCTGGAGACTAGAGTTTCGAAGCCAGCAACAAGTGCGCTCGATTTTCAAACGCAGAGTCTGTTTTTGGGGGTGTTTAGGGGTAGACGTGTGTGTGTGTGTGTTCGGCAATTAGGTTTTATCCGTTCCCCGAAATGTTTTGCAATTCATGTGACCCCGTTTAACTAGCTAGGAGAATAAGTCATTGTTTTAAAAGTGTAACTGTCCATCCTGAATACCGTCTAATAAACACAGAACCGTTCAGAATAGTTCTCAATTCCCTTCCTCTGTGTATGGAGTAGAGTATTCCTCATAAGTGTCTTTGTGGTATACAGTAACCCCATGAGTAATAACATAACTATCACATATTTCCCCTGGTGTCTAAGTTATTACATACTATGCTTATTCCACAGTTATCATCCTTTCCCTCAGTCTCCTCTCCTATCGGTTCCCAGGCCGACCCTCTGGTTGGGGGAGTGACCACAGGCAAACCCCCACCTCCCTCAACCACAGACTTACCCCTTCTCCCTCGCTCCCCTCCTTCACCTAACGAATGAAAGAGTAAGAATAAGAAAAGAGAATTAGAGAATAAAGAAAGAGTAAAGAAGAAATAAAATAAAGGAAATAATACCCATTTAATTACAAATGGTGGCAAGTGGTGGTTGTTTCATAAAACATCGTCCTACGGGCCTTAACCGCTCGACTTCGCCTATCAAAAGTAGTTTTAACGTACACTGATTTTGTATTTGATAAATAATAGGTGTTAGAAAGTGGCATTTTTCTTTTGTTGAGTTAACTGAAATAATCTTGAAGTTGATGTTTTGATGTTTTGTCATACTGTTAAGTGAAGATACTTTTAGATGAAATAAGTTAAGCGACTAAAGGCGGCGGAGCACTGGGCACTTTCTCCCAAACATGTTTGGCAAACACGGCCCGGCCAGCAAAACAAAGAGACGTTTTACGTCACACAGGGATGTTTTGTTGGCGCGTCTGTCCAACGCAACGAAAACAACAACAAAACGTCTAGACGAGGTTCACCATGGATTCCGTTACTACAGCTGAGGTCTTGCAGGGTTGTGCTATAGTTCTACAATTGCTGAAGCAAGTGAGGCGTCTGCAAAAGCTAAAGACAATGGGGTGTCGTGAAATTTGTTTAAAAGTGGCCCTGAATAATGATTTAATAATGGTAACGAAGTTTTAAAGTCACGAATAAATAGAAAAATGTCACCGTTTATGTGTTATATCATAAATTATTATTGTTTCATGATTTATTTAAATTTTTACTTGAAATTATATGTAGCTCATTTCAGCACTAATCCAGCCAGAAAAGATCCCCGCCAAACCGTTGTCCATATCTCGCAACAGCCTAAATCCTGTTGCTTGTTGGGCCGTTAGACCAACGGCCAGCAAAACGGGCAACCTGTTTGGAGGAAAGTACCCAGTGTGCCGCCGCCTTAACGATGGGGTAACGGGGACGGGGCAGGACGGGGCAACCCTCAACCCGCCCCACCTCACCACACCTCACCTCTTGGGGCAACCTCAAGTACCCAGCTCTCAGCCGCGCCACCCCTCATCCAACCCTCCCTCACCCCAACCCCGCTGCGCCAACCCCTCACCCTAACTCTCCTTGCTTCCCCAACCGCTCCCTCACCCTCACACCTACCCTCGTCCCTCACACTTACTCGCTTGTCCGTCCGGCCTCTTCTACCCACATGTCCCTAAAAGATTGAATATACAAAGTATTTATTTCCAACACACTGCCAAAGTGAGAGCTCTTGAACACATACACACCCTACAGACTGATGATAATATCTCACCGACCATCTACACTGATGGACCTCTTAACACCGCCTGTGGGAGGGCTGGAAGTGCTATCGTTGTGACTCAGCCTGACGGTAATACAATTGAAAAAGGAGTTAGAATTAACAACTGGGCATCCACTCTACAAACTGAATTAGTTGCCATACTCACAGCTATTAAATTTACTGAAACCACTGTCAGTGACAATCTCATCATCAGAGATTCTATATCCTTGACACCCTCAACTCAAGTTGTCACGCGTTTGTCTCTGAAGCCAGACACAAATATGCGTACCTTGTTGACTGGGTGTCAAGATCAAACTGTTGTGGATCCCCTCTCACATAGGCCTCAAAGAACATGACAGAGTTGATGCCCTCGCCAAACTCGCGTCTAACAAAGTCACTGTTGAATACAATCTGAGTGCAAACAGGCACTAGTCGATCTATAGTTTACCATGATGAGATGTATCAAGTGAAACGTGTACATGGCGCAAGTAACAAGATCACTAGATTACAACATGCTGTAACCGCTAGAGCGGTTAGACTAAGATTAGGATATAAGTACCTCTGGCAGTATGTTCCTCGAGCAGATGTGAACAAGACTAAATGTAAAGAGTGTGGCCAGATATATGGCCACACACTCGAACACTACGTCCTTGACTGTGTGAAGACAGAACCTTTCAGCGACAGGTCCAAGCACACTGTGTGTGAAATGGCACAACACTTTATCTCTAATGGCAAGATAGCCGACAAATTGAGATTGTATCCACTTTTTTTGCATTTGGTAGCTATATCAGCTCCCATGTATAGAACCAAACACACAATGTGCTTGAATACCTCTCACGCAAATGTGAATAACAAAGTGTGCGGCCAGACATATTGCCCCACACTCCTGTACTCACGCAGAACTAAACAAAGAATTTATTAGAAATGCTCTGTAACATTAAATGCCATAATATCCTGACCCTTTGTAAATACTACTCTGTAATCCTTTTGCGCTACCGCTCACAGGGTGAGTATGGGGTGCACAATAAACTATCCGCTGTAAGTGGCAAAATAAAAAAATCTCCTCCCCTTACCGCACACCCCGACCTCCTCACCCGGCCCTCCCCTGGTTTTTTGTTTGTATTTAGTTATTAGAGCTTAGTGTAGTTGACATATAGAAATGGATTTCTGTAGACCTTCCCTATTGACCTGTCCACTGCTATTACACCTGTAGTATCTATTTGAAAGTTAATGACACCTGCTCCATGACATAGCCACCTATAACTCTCTCGCTGTCCTGCATGGGTTACTTTCGGATTAACGAGACAGCCACTGTGTTGCATAATATCATGAAGGCATTTAGAGATGTGCTAATGTTAAAATAAATGATATTCACTTCTAGACATTTAGATTAAGGAAGAATTAGCTTCCCCCTTGTTGGATGTCACATTGTCTCACAATATACGATTATGGTCGAGATTGGGATTTACCTGAGATACCCAAAGATTATGGGTAACTGTAACCTAAAGGGTGTGTACACCGCCTCCGGCCTAATGACCCCGCGATGTCTCAGACTGATCTCACTTCCAGCCAGATGTAAACCCAGTATTTGCAGGTCTAGCAAAATCCTGCTAGTGGGTGTGAAGTCCATGTCACCAGACTTCACCACTTGAGTCATACCTCTGTCACTCACACACTAGAGGGAGACCATACGACCATGGCGGTCAGTAAGCAGTCAGAAAGCAGCAAAGCCTGTCCAGGATGGCGACAACAATGCACCCCCTGCCGGTTCATTCCTGTGATGCTCTCGACGTAGTGAATGACGTAGTGTCGCTGCCGGCATACCCTTTCGTTAACTTGGGTATGCCGGATGCAGAGATGTCCCCAGCTGGGATCCTGTATTCATTGTTCCAGCCAGGCCGCCAGCCCGACGACATCATCTGGTGGACTGCTGGTACCTCGGTCATCGGGTTAGAAGCAAATATCTAGGGACGACGGAGCCGACTTGGTGCCTCTCTTTGACCCAGGGGCCTTGGTGTAAATGGCTGGGTAGGGAGGGGCTGACCCTTAATTGTGTTGGTTCGAAGTCAACGTGCTGGCTACAGTCATCGTTTGCAACGTTCAGACCACTTGTGAATTGTCACATGTATCATAACCACCTGTTGCACATGTACATGTACATGAAGAGTAGGAATCTTAAACCAAGTCAACAATGTGTATTTGCTCGAAACAAGGCTAAAAGAGTACTTGGGTTCATACAAAGGAGTGTTAGTTACAAGACAAGCGAGGTCATCTTAAAACTATATTGTGCGCTCGTGAGACCACACTTGGATTACGCAGTTCAGTTCTGGTCACCGTGTTACAGAATGGATATAGAATCCCTATAAAGAATTCAGAGGAGAATGACAAGACTAATCCCGGGCATTAGGAACCTTGAGTACAGAGACAGGTTAAAGCATCTTTATCTGCACTCCCCCGAGAGACGTAGAGTGAGGGGCGATATGATCGAGGTGTATAAATGGAAGTCAGGGCTGAACAAAGGTGATATAACAAAGGTACTCAAACTATCCAACCAGGAGCGAACTCGTACCAATGGTTTTAACTTAAACAAATTTAGATTTAGGGTCGATATAGGTAAACATTGGTTTGGAAATAGAGTAGTGGATGAGTGGAACAAGTTACCAAACATCATCATAAACTCAAACACGCTGGATAGCTTCAACATAGGTCGGATGGAAATATGAGAGATAGGGGCCAGTAAGGGCCAATAGGCCCGCTTCAGTTTCCTCTATTCTTATGTTCTTAAAACCACCTGATGC